CTTTGCTCCATTAAAAAAAAAACACCATAGAGATATTGTTTGAACTTATTGCTAACTGTTATTTAATCTCATTCGATTTGACCTGTCAAGCGTAATCTAACCTATCAGAAGATAAAAAGTTACCACCATCAATAACCACTAATCATTCTCTTTACTTTTCTCACCCCTCCTGAAATCATCCATACCTGTAGGCTAAATTACACAAAATGAGGAAGCTACATTTCACAGCCTCGAAATGCAACACTTCTGCCTTCTCCACATTTCTCTACCCCATTATTGACAGCAATACTACATCTTATTTAAAATTATACATTATTATCAAGCTATGTTTGAAATCGCCGCTTTCAAAATTATCATTTGGAAGATCTTATCAACAACACCACAGGTTTTTACACAAAACTTTTGGTTTAATCGGATTTTGATTAAATTGTATATGTCAGTATTATTAATTATAAATCATGAGAATAACAATCAAAATAAGCAAAATAAATGGAAGAAATTATATTATATGTATAATATAAACCTCAATATCTAATCGGCATATATATTTGGTGCGCTGTAGGTAACGTATATAATTTAACAAGAATAAAAATTATCATAGAATTTCTGAATTGATACACTTTATCAGCAATGTTCTTTCAATTTAAAATTCATGCATAAATCTAAGCATACAATTACCGTAGCAGGAACGGAAAAAATTCCAAAAGCAATCCAGAAATGATTCAATGGATGACTGTCAATAATAAATTTCAATAGGAAGATTGTTGCTAGAAGATGTAAACACATCGAAAAGATAGCTTTGTTAAAGTTATGAAGTTGAAATGTTAGTAATATAATTTCAATCGCACAACATGCTATACCAAGACTGATAGCAATCGTTAATGATGTTTCCACATCCGCGTACTCACGTTCGGTCCAATCTGTTAATGGTAATGTTGCCATCACATATTCTGAAAATTCGATCAATGTAATGTACCCTAATTAAAAATAGCTAAATTAATACTGATCTCATTCTCTTCACTTTTTTCTAGCTAAATAGGAACAGCAATAACATTGAAGATGTAGAAATATCAAACTACAACTTAAAATTTTCGTGGTGCTTCCTCGAAATCTTATCTATCAAATAAATTCAAGCAAAAGCTAGAATTCCTAACCATTTATATCTGATAATGCCAACACTAACATTGTCCCATGAGCTATAACAGTCACAAAATATGCCGACGACGCACTTAATGCCATCAGATTGGAAGGCTTGGACAAAAATATCAAGTCAGCACCAGCATTCACTATGGAAACAAGGAATAATTTATGTATTCCGATCCTAACATAGCTCCTGAAGGACGATCGATTTTCCGCAGCTATGATACTGCCCCTTCTAATCTTAATACCTTATTCAATATCAACTACAATTACCCATAATTATGCATGTTATCTAAGGTTCCACTTAAACCACGATTTTTCTAGTGGTCAAATATTGACCATTAGAAAAATAGAAGATGAATTAAACAAAACGATGACATCTAGTATTCTATAAGTACGCTATGCATCATTCTTTATCTGCTATCTAATTATTTGGTATCTGAAATCGTACAACTTGAAAAAACCTAGAATTCGAAATACAACTGCATGCAGCACCACTCTTATTTAAGCATTTATCAGATTCATATGACAAAACATGCCGTAAATAAAAAACATATAGCAGTAAAACCATAAATACTTTAAGTCAAACGTTTACTGCCAGCCATAATACATAAGCATAAAATAGGTCCTAGGAAAGAAATGTTCGCGTTTAAATGCGTTTTAACAAACACCTTTCCTAGTTTCTAGCGTTCCACAACAAATCGTTTTTAAAGATTCCGTGATCTAGAGTTCTGAAATTTATTTTGTTTTAACATAGTTAAAAGCAAAAGAAGTTTTAAATTTTCAATTTCCAATTTTATCCATGTGAATCAATAACATAATATAGATAACATAATGTAGCCGGCAATCACTGAGCTTGACATCGTACACCTTGGGGCCCACGTGTTTCATATTCGGAAGATGACGATGAACGAGGCCCATGGTCATGAATTATTTCTAATTCTACAACTTCTGCGTCATCTGGTACCATCGGCTCTGTACCATCTGGCAGCAATTTCTTCAACTGTTCCACATCCGCAATTTTTTTCGGGAATCGCACAGCAAACTGAATAAGAAGGTCACCTTTTTCAAAAGGATTCTTATAGTGTGGCATACCCTCACCAATTATCGTACGCATATCACCATGCTTTATCACTTCACCTGAAAAGCGTAAAACTTGCTTCATATCATCTGAAAGTATTAGCCATGTAAATATTAAAGATTTCTAGAATAAGAAGTGGAACCCAAAACTGGGTAAATATTTTAAAATCCGCATCAGGTTAAAAGAAGTTATCCTTTAAGTCACAATGCAATCAATAAAGTGCTGCTCCATCCATGTACGAGTTCATCTTTGAAAAATTATAAAATTTGAAATAGATGCCAAAAAATAAAAAAGGAAACCTGGAAATGTTGTGAAGATAAGATGACGTGAATCTAGTGTTGCTATTGATTTTGTACATCCACAAAGTGCCTCTACTAATTCGAGATCAACTTGCATTACTAGATTATGCCCTTTTCGCACAAATGCATCATGTGGTTGCTCATCCAATATAATTACTACGTCACCAGAAGGTATTCCAACCTGAAATTCATACTACTTACAGCTGTCAAATCTAAGAGTGACAATTCAATGATGATTTGATGAAGAGATGGAAAATAAAGATTTTTCAATGATAAACCTAACATCAAATGCGATAATATATGGATATAAATATTACACCATTTCTTGTGTGTACTCAAAAAGACAATATCTTACAGATGTTTTTAACGCACTATCGAAAGGAAATGAATATATATTCCGAAACTCAGTTCGTGAAAGTTTTGCTAAGATTAAAAAAAAGAAAAAGAAAGTTTTAATAACTGAAATAATTTGGAAAGAACAACATGCAAATTCATGAGCATACTTCCTGATCGCCTTGCCCTGAGAACACAATCTTCTGTCCATCTTTCATTCCTTTATCAATATGGACTTCCAAAACAGATTCATTTCGGATCTGGAAATAAAAGTGAAAGATAAGTTCTAGAGAAAACAATAGTGACATTACTACTTATCTAATTATGGATCATGCAAATTAATAAAGGAGTACATAGTTTCAAGTGTTATATTCAAATTACTATACACTTATTAATTAATCCCAAAGGCATTTGAAGGTTTTTTTATAGTCTAGGATGAATCGACATACAGCAAAAAATTGCTGGAATAACTCAAAAATTTATGCTCGAAGACCATGAAATTTTTATGTTTCATCGAATTTGTATCATTAATCTTCAACTTAAATATTCTATTACCTGGTCAGTTAGAGGTGGATTATCGGGGGCTTTTTACAAATAAATTCAAGATGTTGAATCGAAAATAATCATGTTCCACTAAGATTGAAGTTTTCTAGAAATAAACTGTCTTGATCTTTTATTGATCTTTTCATTATCTACTCTATACATGGGAGCAATATATGAAAATGACCTTCTTTTTTCCGTCGCACTGCTTGCACCGATCCTTTGAAGGTATTACTTGGCCCTCACCTCGACAAACATTACATGTTGACTGCATTTGTTGTACCATACCAGGTGCAATTTGCGTGATTTCAACTCGTACGCCTCGACCTTTACAAGCTTCACAAGAAATTACGCAACCCTGAAATCAAAACTGAATTTATTGAATTTAATTAAAACATTTCCACAGCTTTACGAAAGACCTGAAGAAAGAGCAATGTGTGAGTCAACCTAGCGTTCATTAACATTTTTTTGCAGAATTTAACGTGAAGCTTTTATTTTTATGATAATAGGTAGTACTATCATACCTTTGTTCCACCAACACCTTCGCATTTCGGACAGACGATATTACGTGAAAGTTTGAGCTTTTTCACAGCTCCATTATATAATTGTTCTAGAGTCACCGGCAATTGATGTATCATATCACGTACTTTATGTTCACCTCTCTCATTTCCCCGAAAACGTCCTGAAATGCAAAACTGAATCAACTGAAAAATTTGTTATGTATATATACAATGCACCAAACAGATTAATGGTACTAAGAAACACGTACCTAATTTTGTTTTTATTACAAGTTTGACAAACTTTAATTGTACTACACTATACAGAAACAAAAAATAATTCATTTTCACTATCTTTGGCAAACCACTTGCTTCAATTTTTTAGTATGCTCTTTAGATTAGACACCAAACAATATATCAGTGCATCGAATAATGAGATGAATATCTTGCCACTGATCAAAATAATGGAAAAACATGACAATACCTCCGAAAAACATATCAAAAATGTCCATTGGATTATGGAAGTTTCCGCCACCACCTGCTCCACTTAGACCTTCTTCACCACCTTCGTCATATATCTCCCTTTTTTTCGGATCCGATAAAACCTTGAATTTTGTGAATCAGTTAGGATAAATGTTTGTTACAAAATGCAAAATCTACTTCTATAATAAAGGAGCTGTTTTTATGTTCGCGTAGGGTCAAAAAAAAAAAGGAAAAACCTCATATGCCTGTGAAATTGCCTTAAAACGTTCGCCCTCATTGGGATTCTTATCCGGATGGTACTTGAGTGCCAATTTCCTATAAGCTTTTTTCAGTTCATTTTCAGTTGCAGTAGGCGAAACGCCCAAGATATCGTAGTATTTTGTTTCTTTTACCATCGCTTTAGTTCAAAATACTGAAAAGTATTTAGTTAAAAAGATTTGCTTTTAGCAATTCTCTGGCTACGTCTCACGACAGCATGAATTTAAAAAAGTTTTACAACACAAATGTTAAACTATTTGCTTTATGTTTACCACTGAATAAACTGTGTTAATGATTGCGAGTGCAACAGAAATTATTAGTAAACATATTAGACTAATTTTCACAAACATCCATGCAATGGGAAAGGAAAACTACATAAAATATATGTGTGTACGTAAAATGTCTCACGCAAAAAGGACTGAACAGACTTTACATAGATTTCTTAGTTAAAATTGAACGTTTTTTCAGCCTTTTTTGCTGGAGATATTATATATCTACCAATTCACCCAAACATCAACTGATTTTAAAGCAAAAATTAGTTGAGCCCGAGTCCCAAAGACCAAATGAAAAATATCTGTAAGCTAGAGTTAAGGTAAACCTCTTTTTAAACTAATGGATCATGTGCTAACCACGCCAAGAACCAGACGTTACCCCACAAGACACGTCCCACGTACACCACTCCCGCACCACTCCCTACCACACACATCGAACTTTCTAGAGAAACATTTAAAGTGCATAAGGCGCGATATGTAACAATTCAATCCCACATGGAATAGACAAATGGAAAGATGAAAACTAAAAATGGAAAACTTAAATTGACCATTAGTCGATTAAATTGACTCCAATATTCGATCAAATTGAGTCGATTAAAAAAAATAATCGATTAAATTGACCAGTCGAAATCGACCAATAGCTGGGAATGATTAATTTTGTCAGTTAGATTTGAAAAAAGCTTTCAGCATCATTAATTCGTTAATTTATCAATCATTACAATTTACTATAAAGAGGAACAATTCATAAATATGCATTCCATTAAATTAAAATAGAAACATATTGAGAATAGTTAGCAATATTATCGAGAATTTCAATATTTCAAACGTACAAACAAAAACACCTGCAATTGCATTAGCACTGAAGCATTAACATCAAAAAAAGAATTGACCATGATAATCCTGTTGATCAAAATTAATGAAAAAAATAACCTATCTGCATAAACAACAAACTCTTAACCATAACCAATAGCCAGGAAAAAAAAATCCAGTCTGAAAAATAATTCTCAAAGCTATAATTTCCTTAGCCATTTTCCTCACAAAAATAACAGTTAAAAAAAAAGACCAATATAAAAAACAACAAATAATATATCAGAACTCAAAGTAACAATAAACATAACACCAACAGTAATCCCGGATTCACTAATTTTCAGCAATCAGGCAATTCAGGCCTATTTCTCTATACTAATTCTTCAAATTCACTCTTTACTAAGAAAACGATTTAAAGCTTTCACTGAACAAAAATATTTTTACCAAATGATTAATTCTCGATCATTCATAATTCCATTACTGAACAGAGCTAAGAATTTTGATTTACTGAAAGCTTTCAATCTTCTTCTTGATAAATGCAAATATTTTTTTCAAACGATAATTTTTTTTTCAACGATACATTGTCGTCAATAATAAAAAATAAAATTTATATATATATCATCAATAAATACCAATCAATAAATTTATATATCGGAGAGATGGCAGTTAAATTCAATTAACAAAGTAGCAAACAAGGAATAACTTTAAGGATAACCTTCGAGAGATTTCAGTAAATTTTTGATGCGTTGAAACGAGTTAGTATGTTATCAAATAAGAATAAAGTAAATAGTTTCACATGAAATCAATCTACTCTTCTCCATTTTGCATCTATTTCGAGATTTTTTTTTCATCACTTATTGTTTGTGCTATTTTTTTCTGCAGCGAAATAAAATTTGGAAAAATTTGAAGAAAATGCCTCAAGAAAAATTCCAATTTCAAACTTCATCGATCGACCAATCATACATCTAATATGGTAGTTAATATTAATTTCAAGGAATATCTATTGAATCAACCAGTTTATTGATTATCGTTACTACACGGTAAAAGCAGATTTCATCTTTTTGTAATTCATAAATTTTATTATTTGCAAGGCGACGAATAAAGTACCGGCGTTTATCTTTTCTAGAGCAGTGAAGCTTTAAATTGCTAAATTATCATCAGTAACAGCAAAAGAGTGGGACAGTAACAGTTGTGATAATGTGGTGATAATCATTTATAAAAATTATTCAGTTGAGAAATAAAATCGCATAAAAACTTACAATTAGCAAGAAGAGATTAGTCAAGCAGTTTCGTTTCCTGAAGTATTTATAATTTATCTGTTTTCTGCATGAAAAGTTACAGGATCTAGCTCTAATCATAAATTCAATTTCTTTAATTGACTAATCACGTGCATATTTGTCGCATACTACTTTTAAAAACTGTACAAAGTCCCATTTTATTTCTTAGCTTATAAATGATTGAGCTGATAACTCATCATTTGTACTATTCATCACAAACCGATCACAATATTCAGAATTATCAAAACAATTCACTTACCATCATTACAGATTGACACTGTGTGAAATTTATTGCCCGTCTTTTTTTCTACTTTTTCATTCCACCCTTATTTTTTCTTTGAATATCATTCCTTGTTGACATATTCAAAGACAGCCTATCAGTACTGCTTCAATTGTAAAGTCTCATCGATGAATAGGTAAAAAACAAATAGCAATCTTCCAATTTCATCTGTTTTCTTTTACAAACAGTAGTAAAATGTCTGGTATTCTGTTATTATGAAATTCTGCTCCATACATTCATTTATTTGCATAATAATTAATTTTACAAAATTTAAAAAAGAAAAATTAAATATTCTGGTCAAATAATCATTTCCGCATATAATTTGTGTAAATTAATATCTAGAAGGCTTATTCCCTTAACGTTTTCTTTTTCTATGAGAAAAAAAGAATTTTTTGAAGTAAATATATAAGTCTTATGAATAACTCATTATCAAGTGATATATACATTAAAGAAAAAAATTCCTCAAATGTGCAAATATTTGAAAGTAGCGCAATGGAGAGCTAGAAACAATAGAACAGAAATTATTGAAGATATTCCCATCGATTTAATTTCTGACCTTCCGCATTTCTTGAAATAATCATGTGAGAAGCAATTCATTTCCTATACTTGTTAAAACGACCCGTTAGATTTCAAAAAATACATTGTACAAATTTCATTAATGCAAAAAATGAAATGATGACATTAATTGATGATGACTTGGTGGATAAAATAAAAACATAGTGCTCATGAAAAGGCTTATGAAAACATAAGAATAATGATTCGGCTAGCTAATCTAAATACAGTTAGAACTATATATTCATGTTTCTACAAATTTTTTAATAATAGCTACTTTGAACTATTTTATTTTACTGCTTATCTCTTTCCAATAATCTTTTTAATCAATTACATGTGAGCATAGATTTTCGAATTCTTGCTAGAAAATTTTAGGAAATTTTCAATTGAATCTTTTTTTCTGATCATTTTCCACTACAATGCGTAAAGCAACAAAGGTTAGTGGTGAACGTTGGGAACGTCCTGGGCAAATATTACTCAAGCTTAGTTTCAAATCCCTAAATCTAAAAAATTCTTTATTGGATTCAAGAAGATAAGTAAGCACAAGTTGATCAAGATAGTTTGCAAACAAAAAAAAAAGTAGGGATTATAAAGTGGCAAAAAAAAGCTAGAAATTGGCACTTATATAATGGAGTATTTCTGATTAAAAATGAAAAATTAATGAAATATACGTCATAATTCTTCATGAATACGTATACATATGCCTTTCGGCGCCTATGGAAATATACAGCTCTACCTTTGCTTCTTTTATTCCTTCAAAAACCTTAATTAGAATGAAAATATTTTTGCCTTTTATTTCAGTATTCAAAAATTTCATTTTATAATAAAAGAAAATAAGCATTTGAACTGAAACATAATTTTGTTATAGAAATTTGATGATAGATAATTATAAATAAATATAGACCCAGATGATATACCATTACATAATTAGAAGTATTGATCACAATGCTTTTGTTTTTGTTTCTTTTTATACCCTAATAAAACGTCCAAGAATTCGTTTGCATGATGGACACGAATGGACAACATCTCGACAATTATCCATGTAGAATGGAACACAGCAAAGGCACCATGGAAGAAGTAAAAAGAAACCGAGCAGAAAGCATATTCCCATAATAAGCCATGGTAACGTACCGACTATCCTTTGTACTGATGTTACAATATGCGCCTTCAACAAAAATTTTATTTCATTTTTAATCTTCAAACATTCACAAAACATTCAATTGAAATAATTAATATAGAGAAAAATTTATTAAAATAACAACCAAAATTTATTATATTTAACAAGACAAAATTATTAGCAAATATCTTGTAGTAAAAATTCTAGAATAGTATATATTATTACATCACTATGTGCGGATTTTTTTTATATTAAAATTAAAGTTTCAAAAAAAAAAAATCACACATACCTGACAATATGGACAATCAGTTTCAATAGAATTCGGTCCAAAAATTGGTGCAGTTGAGGGAATGAAATTAACACGAAATGGTGCAACAGAAATGATATTTCCATTGCTACTTGCAATGTTCATCCCAGCTAATGGTGATAATGATGTGGGAAATGAAGAAACATTAGTGGTTGTTGTATCGGTAATAATTGAATTGTCAGTATCATTCTTAAGAATTTCTTCATATTTTGGTGGTGGATAATCGTTAGCATTCATCCCGATATCAACATTTGTGAAAATAAAACTCACCAATCACTAAAAACAACTGATCTTCAGATACAGCTAAAAAAAAGATAGTTAAAACGCGAAATAACTCAAGATATCACAAAGATATCAATTTCACGATAAAAGACTACAAGAAGAAAAAAAGTTGAAAATGATTTATATATATGTATATATATATTCTTCTTTGTAACAATATCGTACTACAGCCTTCCAATAAATTCTTCACGCATATTTACATATTTATTTGTTGAATTTAATTATTAGCTAGGTAGCAATGTTAATTTATATTTTCAACTTACGAATGAGTAAGCATATATAGAATTGTAACAGATTAATAAGCAATCAAATAAAGAATATGACAAGTTGAAATCATTACAATGTAGTATTGATGGATGTTTTTGAACTAATTTAATTAATGGAATTTATTACGAGAGAAGCAAAAATCAAAATTAAATTTCAATAATTTTCGATAAATAACACTACATTTTATTTAGCTTTTATAACAAAAATTTATCATCATCACAATATGCATGCAATCATTCAACAAACTGTTAATATTTTGAAAAAAAATTTCGAGTTTCAAAAATAATTCGGAAAAACTTTCAGAAAAAAAAATCAGTGTAACAGAATTAACAATAATTTAAATTGACCACACAATAAAATTATTAACAGGGAATGTTTGATGACCTAAATTAAATGGCTAATCTTCGATTAAAACTGTTAAGAGCAAAATAGCTTTAAAATATGTCTATTGATTACGCGAACACACTATTCAAATTTCAAAATCTTGCAAAAAAAAAAGGCAGGGAAAAAATGACCCTTCTTTCAATTCGAATATAAGCATAATATTTTATATCTATCAATTTCAATTTCTTATTAAATGTCCAGGAATGAATGCTATTATGGACTCAGAAGAAATGCTTATTTATATATCACAAAGGTAAGCATTTGTGCGATGCATAATAGCGACATTTTATTGAAATATTTTCATTCCAACTAGACTTGGAACGATAACGAATGATATAAGATGATGTAGTGAGACAGAGAGAGAGAGGGGAAGAGAGAGGGAGAGAGAGATGAGAATAGGGAAAATAGACATAATAGAGGTAATGCAGGTGTTCTCTACTTGATAAATAACTGTCATTATGTCCATTGTCAATCCTAGATCCAGTTCGTCTTGTAGATTAATTAATACATTTTAAATGAAGTAATTTCTAAGAACTATCAATTATCTATCAGGTTTAGTCAGGTAAGGGATACATTTCGCATGGACAGATTGACTTCAGTAGTTTCATTTATTAGATTGAAAAAAAAGAGGTTTTGAAATAGTGTTAGCAAAAATATAATATGAGGATAATTGCCGTAATGTGTAGTATTGATCAATTTTTTCAATATAATAAGCACAAAAAGAAAATCATATAAATTCAAAAACAGATAAATTTTTATACCAATATCTAGATTCCATTACTAATATAATGTAAGCTACGTAGAGTACTTTGTAAAACAGGAGTGGACAAATAATTACAAATACAAGTTGAAAAATTTTTATTTGTATTGAATCTTGAAAAATATTCACATATTTGTAATTAAGTTTCACAAATTTCAAAGACAATAATAGTAAAAATCATGGATAGTGATATGAACAGAAAAAAAATCCATGAAATTTTATCATGCAGCAATTTTTTTTCTAAAAGTAATCAAAAAAGCGTAATCATTTTTCCAAAGGATGGTAATCGAGCAATTTGACAATTAAATCAACATGTGACAAAAGCATTCGTCGACAGCAATAGCGGCGTAAATTTAATGCATCGAGGGCATCACCTGAAATTAGAACAAAAATGTTTACATCCTCACCAATTTACATTCCTCTTAAAAATTGCAGTCGAGTCCTAATTAATTTTAATCTTCAATTTCGAATTTTGAAGTAAATTTTTAGCCATGAATTCATCACTGAAATTATTCATCTCACCAATTTTCAGTAGCACACTAAATTTAGAAAGAAATTTAAAACTACTGAATTACTAACCTTCCGAGTATTCTGCTTGCAACAATCCAAGATAAGCATCCCATTTGTTACCAATAACTTTACCACATGTGAAACAACGTATCGGTATGATCATTTTGCACTATTCTATAAAATAAGCTTAATTTTACATATAAAAAACAGCGAACATGAATACAAATCATCAATTTACAGAATATACTCAAAACATAAAATATTTAAAACTCAAAATAGCTCCAATTATGGAATAATACCAGTTTCAAAGTCATGTTCCCCTGATAATCATTCAATTTGATATTTAATGGAAAAGGGATACAGTTAAACACCTGGCATAAATCGATCAATTCCAGTAGTGTTACCAAATTATTACATTGAAAAAAAAATTCTTAAAATAGAGTTAGCAACAATTCAATACGAGGACAATTGTTATAATAAACAACAATTTTTGATTAATTTTCCAACACAGCAATAACAAACATGGCTCATATAAGTTCAAGCCATGAAAACTGTAATCAGTAAAACTTCCAACTTCCGAGATCAAAAAAACTGCCAACTTTTAGAACAACTCCTATATATCCAACTGCAGTGAACTTAATTCGTAACAAATAAACCTATAAACAGTTTACAAAAGGATCACTAATAGATTTATAACTATCATTCATTTATTGTTTATTGAAGAGAGAACTAAATCCTAGTTCATGTTTCAATGTTTTTGTAAATACTTTATATTACATAACAATGTTCTTGTAC